CTCTGCACTTACTGTATAAAAGCTTTTACTTATTGAGTCAGTTGATGAGAACCACTGTTTCATTGTCATTGTTGTGCTACAGCAGTGTCTTACCGGGCTAGCCTGGAATGATGTAGGCAAGACTGACCTAGAACTCCAGGCAATATTCCTACTTCAGCCTCCCATGTGCCACAGCACCTAACAATCAGTCATTGTTTAATTACATAACTATCCCACTGATGTAGTGTATGAAAGAAATAACTACAGAACTATTGTCCTGACCTTAGCATTTCAAGAAACCAGGTTAAGAACAACCTTAAACAGATAAGTACATTGTGTGTCACCCCAGTCCTTATCTATTCTTGAGAACTGTCATATGCTGTCCATGCTGACACAACTAAAGCTTTTGAACTTTTCAATATCAATCATCCTGTATCAAATTAGTCATTTACACATAATTCACTTTCCTCCTTTCTTTGCTTCTCTGTAGCATGTTTGCTAAGTGTAGATTGTGAATGTTGTATTTGGGCTTTGTCTTGTTTCCTACTTGAGACAGTATCACTTATCCAAACTAATCTCAAAAAATTACAACGTAGCCAAGTACACCTTATATTTCTGATCCTCTCTCCAACTCCAGAGTTCTGGGATTACAGACCCGTGCTAGCATATTTGTCTTTTGCAATGCTTGGAATTGAACCAAGATTTCATGCACACTAGGGAAGCTTTCCACCAACTGAGTCACACCCCCAGATCCTGTTAATGCTGCCTTTGAAGCTAATTGAACATTTTGGAAAACTCTACATAGAAACTTTTATTCTACTGAACATCCAAAGAAATAGATGATGTGAAGTCATAATGAATTACTTCAGTTTATAAACTGGGGACAAAAATTCACTTATATTAGCAAATTTGAAAGGTAGAAAATAACCAATGTTGTGAGCAATAATCACAGGCCTAGAAAATAACCCAATCACAAGGTTTCCACTAAGGAAAAGGTTACTCTAACCAAGGCATGAGGAAAGGGCATAGGATTCCTAGCACTGGCCTTTGTGGAAACAATAAACATGGCTCCAGAGTATGTCTTCATACCCACTGTGTACTGATGTCTTATATTTAGGTGTGTTGAATGTTACAAGGTGGTATGTTTGGTGTGTAGTGTGTAACATACTGTGTTATGTACATGTCTTCTAACAGGTGGGTAGTGTTGCTTCCATGACATGGAATCAACTGACAATCAGCAATATTTCCAGATTTCACTTTATATGAAATGAAGTGCTCAGCCAAGACCTTCCCAGTCTGACCTTCCCAAGGTCATCTCAAGGCTGTCCTGTTGCAGATAGAAGTAAGATAAAGCACTAAGACCTCACAATTCGAGGTGGAATGCACCAATGCACTAGTCGTTAAAGCCATGATCAGACAGGAAGCTTATAGTGACTTCTTTCCATGTGCTATACTTCAAACAAAGTAAAGTCTCATATGATTGCTGTCTTTGAAAGTTAAACATGAAGCTGGAGAGATGACTCAAGTTACAGGCACATACTGCTCTTGCAGAGGACTGAGGTTCAGTTCCCAGTACCTACCACAGGTAGCTCACAACTGCCTGTAACTCCAGCTACAGAGCAATCATCAGGCACCCTCTTCTTGCCCTCATCCACACTGCACTCATGTGTACATAACACCACACAGACAGACAGACACACACACACACACACACACACACACGCAATTCCTTTGTAATCACTGCTTCTAAAATAGATTTTTCCTTCACTGACAAAATATTTTTATTGAAAATTCTTAGTGTCTTTCTGAAGTACTATAAAGACAATGGATTCCGAGCCATCCAGTGAACTGATATCTAACCCATCACACAATACAGACTTTCTCAAACAATGCACTTTAAAATGATTCTGATCTTGCAATGAGTGATCTGTAAACCAGAAGCACCATTAAACATTCTGTGTCTTCTGTATGATATCATTTTTTGAAGTATGAATAAGCCTTACTTCAATAAAAACAGAGAAAACATATTATATACAACATTCAAGTGTTAATTTGCTTTTGTTAATATTTAAAGCAAGAATAACATTTTTCAAAGATTTTGCTATCTTCTGTTATCTTTGTGAAAAACCGAAGGTTAAATGTGTGTGTCTGATAGGTGGAGTAAATGATTTTAGGTTAATGGCTTTTTCAAATAGGTATTGTGTCTCAGTGTATAATTTTCTCATAAAATAATAAAGTTCTATATTTAAGCCCTTTGAAGTTAGTCTCTGTAAATGTACACTGAAATTCAACTTCATTTAACCTAAGAGACTCACACTACACAGATTGACTCCGATCACTAGAAAGCTTCTAGTTTAACACAAGGCAGGCTCCTTCCCTTTTACCTTTCAAAGTGAGTCCTCATCCCAGCTTTCTTGCATTTGTAAAAGAATCTAACCTCTCCCACCTAAAACAAATTGAACACCTCCACACCCTCTGTCTCAAAGGCATTCAAACCAAGCTACGGTTAGAATGCATGGCCACCCATGCGTGGCCACACGAATCAGCTGGATCATTCTGGCTTCTTCCAGCTCTTTCAGAAGTCTGCCCATGTCTCCCCAGAACCATCATGTGGTTCTTGTCCAGGCAGTCACCCCTGTTTCTTCAACTATGTGCAGACTGCTCCTTGCCTTGCAAAGTTCTTTGGAATTCATCATTCAGACAGTCCTGGAATTTGCCCGTTACATTGCTATCCAGTGCTTAAAAAGAGAAAAAAAAATATTTTTTTTAAATTAGCAAACATCTTTATCATGAAATTTAAGCACCCACATCACCTCTTCATCCTCCCTGACTGCATTCTCTGATATCTCTACCTTCTTGACACAATCTTCAAAGGGGAGTACCATGAGAGAAAGACTATATATCAATCAGGACCACTGACAACACGGGCTTGGAGCAAAATATCCTCAGCTGTCATCCTCAGCTGGGCCAGCCCCTTGGGCTGGTTGTGGGACTGTGGGGAAGTCACATGACCTTCTGGTCCTCCTTTTTTTAACATGTGGTGGAATCATTCTCGGGAACAATGCTTATTTTTTCTTTCTTTCTTTCTTTCTTTCTTTCTTTCTTTCTTTCTTTCTTTCTTTCTTTCTTTCTTTCTTTCTTTCTTTATTATTTGCCTCACCTTAAATTAAGCTAGGAAGGGTCTCAGGAATGCTGTAAAGGACAAGGGACATGTGATCCATCCATAAACTCTTGCACCTTAGTGGCTGGTTCCAATAGCTGACTCATTATTGTAATATCCATGGAGTTGAGGAACACTGATGTTCATTATGAGAAGATGCTCTGTACAAACAAGGTAGATTCTCAGCAGTCATTTGGTAAACACCGGGTGCGTCAGAGTGATGCCCTATTCGTGAGGTAAAATGCCTTGTGCTAAAGGAATGTACTTTAGTCATTTCTTTACCTCCACTTCACATAGACCATTTCTTCAACTTGCACACAGTGGGGCGCCCCGAGTTTAAGTACACCTCTCGATAAATGTTGTCAGTCACACGCACTCATGTCATCTCCAGTCCAGTAGAGGTGACATCCCTCTATCCCCGGGCTCCCTGGTGCACCTTTCTGCAGCCCATCCCCACTTGTCCCAATCTCAGGCAAATGCATGTCTACTTTCTGTTATTATAAATCATTTTGTCTGCAAGTTACTTTTATTTTTTAAGCTAGAATTGTTTTCTTTTTCTGTTTGAGTAGCTTTATTTATTTATTTGAAATTTTGATCCTGTTCCCCCTGCTCAAGCTCCTCACAGATCCTCCCCATCTCTCTACCCTGATTAAGTCAACTTAATTCTCTCCTCTCTTCCATGCTCAAACAAATGAAAATCAAGAGAAATGGAGGAGGGGTGGTTCTGGGGGAGAGGGAGGGTGAGAAGAGGTTGTTGGGTACCAGGAGGAATGCAGGGAGGGGAAAACTCTAGTCAGAATATAATGTATGAGAGAAGAACAAAATTTATGTCAAAAAAAATTTAAAACCTCATAAGACAAAAAATACCAAAACAAAGCTAAACAAAAAGCCCATAAAATAGTGTATAGTCTTTTTGTGTAAGCAGCAGCTCTTGGGTATGGGGCCTGCCTTGGACTATGGTTAATATACCTTAATGATACTTCATTGGAAAAAACAGATTTTCCCTTTCCCAGCAGGAATCAATTGCAAATAGCTTTTTGTTTAGGGGTGGGACTTAACGTCCAGAGTTTGGTTTGAACCTGTGCAGGTCTTGTGCATGCTGTTACAAACGTGAGTTCACCTGTGTGTCAGTCTTGTTAATTCTGGAAGACGCTGTTCCCTTTGAGTCATCAGCCATCTCTGGGTCTTATTATCTTTCCTCCGTTTCTATTCTCCAACGTGACAGTCAGTCACTCACATAATGGACTCGTGTACAAACAATTAAAACAAAGTTGAGTACGATGCACAAATTGTCCTGGGGCTGTGATGCGTTGGGGGGTGCAATGGTGAATCGTACTCCATATTTAGTTCCAAAAGAGGAAAGAACGTTTTGTGCTTCCACATTTTTTAGCTGAAAACTTGACCTCTATTATTATTTGTGTTTTTACTTTTCACTCTTTCCTTAACCACAGTTTTACTCCTGGGTCCTTGATCTCCCATCAGGTAAAAACTGAGCTCTGACAAAGTGCTGCAGAGACGGTGGCCTCTGGTTGCCATCTAAGCCCCTTTACCTTGAGACAGCTATCAGTGAACAGAAGGAGTCAGAGGCCCTCTGCAAAGCGAGTGCTCTCTTCTGGACACTATCCCGGACAGAGTTCCTGATAGGTCTTTGAGATCTGTGAGCACAAGCTTTGAGGACACTCTGGTGGCTGCTCCTGGAGCAAGGTGAAGCCACATCAGAGTCCCAGCTGTAATCCTGTAGGGAATTTGTGGCCACAGCCTGGGAATCGAGCCCAGGCTGTTTGGGTGAAGGGGCCTGGCGCCGGACATGGCCTGCAGACTCAGGGCTGTGTACATATTCACACAAAAGAGGCCGGAAAGTGACAGGAGGAAGCTGTGCGTCACAGGGCACTGAGCGGGACCCTGGCCGCGCCTGGCCAGCTCCAGGACAGACCCGCACTCCAGCCTCCAGCCCTCAGCGCCAGCTCCGTGGCTTCCAATGAGACTCCTCCCGCTTCTAGGTGAGTATGGGCTGGGCTTGGGAGGCTGCAGAGCGCCCACCTGCAGGGAAGCAGGGAAGGAGACTTTTCACTAGCTGGGGTTCAAGTGTTAAGTGTGTCTGGCACTGTCTCCAAGGAAAACAGACTTGGGCTTTCACAGGATGTTTTTCTGCTTGGCCTTTCCACTCTGGACCTTGCTTTTCACGACCCAGGGCTTTTACCTATTTATTCTTCCTGGAGAAAGCTCGAAAGTCTTCGAAGTCTCAGACTTTGACCTTTCTTGTGATCGCCTCCAAGAAACTTGGGAAATCTAAACCACAAATACTTGAGAGAGAGGCTTCCTGACATTTTAAGGCTACTGCCTGCCTGGACTTTGGGTTCATTTAAAACCCTGTTTGGGTGATGCATGGGGAGAGATAATAAATCACTTCTTTGAAGGCAAATTAATCCAGGTTTAAGAAGTACATATAGTCTTATAAAGGGCTGGGATTTCGAATTGACTGTGTAAAAATCTCTAGGTACCAGATAAGGACAATTTATCCAAGATAACTGTTTTCGAAACAATGGCTTTGTGATTCATCCCTGTTCCGGCCCAAGATTGCTCTTAAGTGGGCTTGGAACAAGACAATAAAAAGAAACACTCTATGATTTCGCTTATCATTTCCTAACAGTCCTCAAAACATAGTTTTGTTTGTCATGTTGGGCAGGTGTTCTGTGGCTGAGAGATCAATTGTAGAACAGTATGTTGAATTTTGTTTTAATTTCTCTTAATACAAGATACCAGAAAAGGCATTTTTGTCATAAAAAGGGCAGAACAACAATTGCCAGAAGACTGGGAGATGGGAAGGGACATGCGTTTCTTCTCTTCCTAGATATGACAAGTAACATCTTAAAAATAAAAGATTTTAGTTTGTGCAGATCCAGATACTCAATTTACCTTGATTTCTGGAGGGAAAAGGTAACTCCCAGAGCAGGAGGAGGAAAATTGCTTTGCAATCAGGAAACACCTTTGCAAGTAAGCACTTCACTTCAGTGACAAAGAGATACTGAGTTTTCAGAACCGGATAACCTCATAGATTTTATTATAAAGCTGGATTTCCCATTATGTTTTAGTTACATGAAATTTACATGATACTCTCCTTAATCTTTAGGCTTAGTCACTTTTCTTCTGTGATTTAATTAATGAGTCACTGGGAAATTTTCATAATTCACCTTTCTAGATGAAGAGAAATAAGCACATTTGTGGGGTATTGATCTTTAACACAAGGATGGGAAGTGTCTTGTTTTTGACAAGATCTATGTCTTGATTTTATTTAGTGGGTTTCTCCACTTTGTTGAATTGTTGCTACACACAAAATTGCACCAAGACACCGTGTCTCCCAAATGCCAAGTGTGAAATCCACAATGGTGTGGAAGCCTGCTTCTGCGGTGTGGGGTTCTCTGGAAATGGCGTCACGATCTGTGAAGGTAAATAGCCTTGATCTCTTTTGATCTGCTCATGTGATTCAGTTCTGCATGACTCTTCTCTCTTCTCTTGCTTCACCTGTGCTGTGAAGCTCATATGAATCTAAAAAAGAAAGTTAACTGCTCAACAAGCATGAATTTCCTATGTCAAAATGCATTTTTAATATTGATATTGATTACCCATCATATATTTTATTTTGAAAGTTAAAGCTTGCTCTGTCATTAAGCCAGAACATCCAAGCACAAAAAAGAGAGTTAATAGCCCTGAAAGTTCCCACAGCCCAGACGATATTGGCATGTGTGTTCCTTGGGTGTTTTCTGTAGTAGTTAACTACTTAATTTCAAGTTTGATGTTAAGCATAGGAAATAGAATTGTGTGGTGGTGGTGCACACTTGTAATCAGAATGCTTTGTGGAAGGACAACCAAAAGATAGCAGGTTTGGGGGCAGCCTGCCCAATACAGATCCTCTCGGAAGAAAAGACAAAAGGAGAGTGAGGTACAGAAAGAGAGGAAAGGGTACAGAAAAGAGAGAAAGGGGGACACAGAGGGGTGGAAGTATGGAAAGAAGGAAGGAAGGAGGAGAGAAGGGAATTTTAAAGTAGATTCTTCTCTGAGTAGATTCTGCTGTAGAATGTCATGGTGGAGCTCAGACGGAGCCTGGTGGGAAAGGTCTTTGTAAGATGCAGTTCAGAGAATTGACTGGATAGGATGAACGAGTGCCACCTGGTAATCCAACTGAGCAGAGTTCCACCCTGTGATCACCTCAGCCAGTGTTTCTCCCTGCCAACAAGACTCATTTCCTCTTTCTTGTTTCCCATGATCCTCAACAGAGGCTACTTTTAAGTAGATCATTAGTGAAACATTCTGTACAGAGAGATGGAGAAGGGGAAAAAATGTTGCAAGCCATATAAATTAGTTTCAAATATAATTAAATACTAAGTTCGCATTAGAGCTATGTGGTGTTATACTTCTAAATGTATTTAAGAACACATGGACTTTTTCTAATTAAGCTAGGATATTGTGCTTTGTTAATATTGCATGTTGTTGCTTATAGTATAAACAAGTTGTGTCTCGTGATTCAACTTGATAGGCTCTTAAAAAGATTAAATATGCAGCATATAGTAAAATTCAAACCTCATCATAATTAGTTTAATGCTTAAAAAATGTACAGCAAAGATGCAGTTTGCTTAATGGTGCATTAGATCAGCTGTTTCTGTTCCTACATCCAGCCAGAATTTGTAATATACTATTCTACAAGCACTACAAACTACTTTCCATAAATAATCATAGATTTTTTTTAGTGTGTACTTAATTGAATAGCATGAAGGCAAGCTGATAGCTGAATGACCTTCAAAATATTGCTTCCAATATATCAGCATGCTTTCCCACTAATCATTACAAATTGTTCTGTACCACTAACAGACACCATTGCCTTTCTGTGATTTAGATACTTTTACTGTCATGATTATCATCATCAGTGTCAACAGATTTTTGGCTTGGGCCTTTGACAACCAATGAGCTGATAATCATGACTTTCAGGACTTCTTTGAAAAAGACATGTTCTGATACACAGTGTTGTCTATGCTTCCACTGCCTGAAAGAAAGAAAATATTTACTGTTGAAAGAAAAAAATAAAACCAGAAGGAACTGTGACTTGCAATTTTTTCTCACTCTGAACACAAATGGTAATGGAAAATATTTCTTTTTAAAAAAAGCTGGTTAAGTTAAATGCCATTTCTATTTAAAGAAAGTTTCGTATTCACTTGATTCAGCAGTCATCATCTGAGTTTGTAATGTCTTCTAAAAGTGCTAAAGAATGATTTTCCTCTTTTCAACATCTTTTCAGCAGGTATGCTAATATGTTCTCTAGAACCAAACTTAAAGAATTACATTTCAGTTACTGAAAAGTGTAGATTATAGGTTGACTATGAAGATTGTTTTGTTGGATTTTTTATCTCTAAATAGATATATCTCATATTTCTTATGTGTCTTTGCAAGCTTGGCACCATGTCAGCAAATGTCTGGATAAGATTTCAGCTATAAAGATGCCAAGTGATTTAAAATTAGAAGTTGTTTTCTTTCCAGTATCATAACTATCCCCATCATAATCAATACAGAATTTTTATTTTATTTTAAACATACCAGATACATGTTTTGGTAATAACTCACTCCCACAAACTGTATGACAAAAGTCCATTTTAAACAAGTCACATAGAATATTGCTTACATGGTTCTAAGCAAACAAGATTTAGCAATAATAACTTAATTTTACCTAATCAACTTGTTACTTGACAGGTAGTCATTGGCCACCTTTATCATCATTATCCTCATCACTATCATCACTGAGACTGATAATAACTATTGCACGTTGATTCTTTTTTTTTTTTTTTTTTTTTTGGTTTTTTTTCGAGACAGGGTTTCTCTGTGTAGCTTTGTACCTTTCCTGGGACTCACTTGGTAGCCCAGGCTGGCCTTGAACTCACAGAGATCCGCCTAGCTCTTCCCCCCAAGTGCTGGGATTAAAGGTGTGCGACACCACCGCCTGGTTTGCACATTGATTCTAAGGCATGAGTTACCACAGTGCCTCCCCTGTTAAAGATCTCTTTTATCTTTGGAGAACAGATCAAGGGATGCAGCCAAGAAGTGGTCAAAAAAATTTCTTCACCAATGTTGTCCTATTCTATAGCTGTAACTTTTTCTTTAAATAGTAATTCATATATATACATACATATCATCTTCCTGAATTCAGCCCTATTAGTGTTGCTTGCATGTACATGTTTTTAGGGCTGACCACTTGGTAATGTATAATCAACTAAGTTTACTCCCACCTAGGGAAGTTTAATTGTCCCTCTGTCAGTCGTCATTAATCGACTGTAGCTCTCCATGTAGGGACAGGGCCTTGTGAGTGTTCTTTTACCCATATTGACATGTCAACTGATACTGTCATTTTTCAAATTCTGTATAGTCTACCATATTGCTGAAATTTCATAGATGAAGCCTTTCTGTCCTATATGGAATACACAGTCTCTCAGAAGACATCCTAGTCCTCTGGCTCTTACAAGCTTTCTGCTTGCTCTTTTGTGTTTTATCTGAGCTTTGGGTGTAGGAGTTATGTTGTAGGTGTATCCACTTAAGTTATGTACCCCATGGTGAGTTGTTCTCTGCATTTTAACCACCTGTGGCTATAATTGTCTCCATATGCTTCAAAAGAAGTTTCATTCATGAAGGTTACAAGCTATATTTACCTGTGGGTAAAAGGATAAGTATTTAGAATGCAGAGAGAAATTTTACTTGTATAAAGGAGTAGCAATGGTAGGTTTTCCTCTAGGTTCCATGACTTCATTAGTCGTGGGTAGATGGCTAGGAATATCCCCATGGCCCTAGACTGAAAATATAAATAAGCGATTGTCTTTGGCATAGAAAGTATGTAGTGGGGCAGTTAAATATCTGTTAAATGGTTGTGCAGTGGTGCTATAAAGTGAATCTGTAGAATGTAGAAGTATGACAAGTCAAAATGACATTGAGGCTAATAATAGAAAAGTAAATTCTATTTGTCAGGATGTCCAAAGCAGCAATGAGAAAGCAGGCAAATGCACAGTATTGACCAATAAAGAGTCTGGACAATTTCTGTAATGTAACTCTCTTTTTCACTGGAATAAACTAAATGACAAAAAGCAGTAAACAAAACTAGAAGTTGAACATATCTGAAGTTTTTCAGAAGCTCCAAGTACTTCATGCATGATGGCAGAATACATTAACTGTAGGACCAGTCAGGATGTTGATACTATGAATATGATCTGATTAGCAAAGAAGAGATATTACAAATTCTAAAAGTAACTGAGTTACACAATAAATTTTGTGTATTAAAAAGATTAACCCATATGGTAGAGTAAGCAAATGTATGACAATGCATCATTGTAGAAACCTGTATAAACATCAGAACTATATGTTTGTACAACACATTATAGGTAATGTACTTCTACCCCATCCATGTTCAGATTTAAGGTAGATTTTTTTAAAACATAAAGAATAGGTACTATTTTGACCTCCACGTTCCACTATAACAGAACATACTAGCATTTATTAAGCACCATGCCACAGCTTTTTGTGCACAAGAAAACAAGAGCCATGGAAATGTGATCTCCATATTATCTAAGAATAGTTGGTAGAGACAGTACCCAGACCCTGGGACAGAGACTTTCTAACAGTGACAGCGAATGCAAACACATTCTTAACCAGGTGATGTAATTAGGCCAGGAGAGTCTTTAAAGCCAGGTCTAGAGAGCAATATCTTCGAGCAGAAATTAGATATTTAATAGACATATGGAGATAATAGTCATAGTTTATTTGAAATTTAGCAGTGCCTAGACATTTGAGGTTGCTTTCAGAAAGGAAGAAATATGTATACAAATTTTAATGTACAATAAAAAGGCTCATGAAACTGTTGAAACTATTTTATGCTAACACAGAATTTCTTAGTTTTGCTATCTATATTGCTATTAATTATGCATTTTAACACACTTTATGTTGCACTTTGGTGCACAACTATTGTAGGTATAGAAAAGAAGAGAATATTCACCATGAAATAAGGAGGAAAGTGTGAAGAGCAAGTAATGGGAGACGGTTTAGTGCATATGGATTTTCTGTATATGTCTAGACAACACTTACACAACACAGGGCTTATGTAAGTGTGAGAATGCACGTGAGACTGGCTCCCTCCTGGCAGAAACATTTACTAAGTAAAGCAATGTTTGGGGTTTGAATGGAATCTGAATGAGACAAACAATTGGCCCAGGTGGAGACAAGAAGTGTCAGGAAAGATGCAATGTGGACAGCTTTTCATAGCTTGGAACATGTCTGTCACAAAACCACCCAGGGAAAACAAGGAGGTACTGGTTCGTGCTATAAATGTGACACACTTCACAAAGCAGCATTCATGGCAAGCAAAGGGCTCCACTGGCAAAGGAGCCTAAGCCCAAGGTCAGTGACATGAGTCTCATCCCCAGGACCCATGTGGTGGACAAAGTAAGGAAATAACCTACTGTCTCCAGCAAGTTGTCTTCTGACCTTCCCACAGACTCCATGGCCACTTGTTCCTACACATGCATGCAAAACAAATAAATGTATTAAAAATAAGTAAGTTATAAAATGAGTTTTCATCATTATCTAAGGAGCACACCGCTGCTTATAGAACTCTACTGGACGAATGCTATCATAATGTGAAGAGCAATATGACACCAGCAAAGGCACACAAATGGTGTTACAGGAGCTTTCTAAGGATTGAGATGGAATAATCCATGGAATCAGAATATGGAAGGAGAATTCAGTCCAAGGCACAAGCATAATCCCTGCTGGAATAAAATGCAAGTAATGTTAATTGTATTTGTGTGAAACAGCTCTTCGCAGAGAGTTGAGCTGTTCTTGACACCTATTCTTCCCTCAGTTCCTCTTATCTTCCTCCTCCCCATCTTCCCATTCTTCATTCTTCTACTCGCTTGTCCTACCTTCCCTTTTTCTTTTATTTAAAAAGATATTTTTAATGTGTGTGACAGTTTGTCTACTTCTGTGTGTGTGCATGTGTGATTGCAGTGCCTCAGGAAGCCAGAGGAGGGTGTCCAAGACACTGGAACTAGAGTTACAGACTGTGAGTTGTCATGTGAGTACTGGGAACTGAACCCAAGTCCTAAGCAAGAGTAAGAAATGCTCTTGACTGCTGACCCATCTCCCCAGTCCATGGCACACAGGTGGAACACACATATATGTAGGCAAATATCCATACTCTTTCCCCCCTTTTATTGAAAATACGTATTTTTCACATAATATATCCTGAACAGTTTCCCCTCCATCTAGTCCACTTAGTTCCTCCCCTCCTCCCCTCCCATCTAGATCCACTTATTTTTAGTCTCTCACTTCAAAACAAATAAGTTATTAAGGGATTATAATATAATATAATATAATATAATATAATATAATATAATATAATATAATATAATATAATATAATAATATGATAAAACAAAAATAATACATCAAAAGTGTACAAAACAACTAGCAGAAGGAAAACAGCTCAAGAGAAGACACAAGAAATGGAGACCTACTCATTTGCACACTCATGAATCCTGTAGAAGCACTAAACTGGAAGCTATAATATATACATAAAGAATCCAGTACAGAAATATGCAGGCTGTGCACACTGCCTCTGCCTCTGTGAGTTCATATGTGCCTTGAGCGTATTGATTTAGAGGGCCTTGTTTTCTTGTTGTCTTCCATCCCCTCTGGCTCTTACACTCTTTTTGCCCCCTTTTCTGGATGATTGCTTGGGCTCTGAGGGGAAGGATTAGATGGAGACACCCCTTTAAGATCTAAGTGTTCCAAGGTCTCTCACTTTTGGGGTAATGTTTGCCTGTGGGTATCTGCATTGGTTCCCATCTGCTGTAAGAGGAAGTTTCTCTGATGCTGAATGAGCAAGGCCCTGATCTATGGGTATAACAGAATGTCAAAGGAGTTATTTTATTGCTACTTTTTTAAAACAAAGACCTTGGGCTATATAGTCTCAAATTCTTGGTCAACTCAGCAGCATTAGGTATAGGTTCTTTCCCATAGAATATGCCTTAAGTAAAATCAAATATTGATTTCTTATTCCCACAAGATTTGTGCCATCATTGCCACAGCATATCTTGTAGCCAGGACACCATTGTAGATTAAAGAGTTTGTGGCTGGTTTGATGTTTACATTTCTCTTTTGGAGACTGTGGAGTACCTTCCTACATCAATGGTGCTAGCATGTAGGGGTAAAGGCTCTATGTGGGCATCAGTTCAATTTCTTTATGTTTAATGTGTTGTATAGGTGTTATCTTCATCAAAGGGGCCTTGCAATCAGTTTGTGGAGAGCAACCTATAGTTTTGACAACAGCTTGGATTGTTTGGGGATTTTCATTGGACTCCTTTGGCCAACAACTCAATTGGATGTTATGTAGTCCTAGGACCAGAAGCTTCATTTAGTGACAAAAAGGTGACCAGTTGGAGCTGTGTCTTGCTGTGGGATGTTTTGTATGGCAAATGTGTTGCTCTGATTGGTCAATAAATAAAACACTGATTGGCCAGTGGCTAGGCAGGAAGTATAGGCAGGACTAACAGAGAGGAGAAAAAAAAAGAACAGGAAGGCAGAAGGAGTCACTGCCAGCCACCATCAGGACAAGCAGCATGTGAAGATGCCAGTAAGCCACGAGCCACGTGGCAAGGTATAGATTTATGGAAATGGATTAGCTTAAGCTATAAGGACATTTAGCAAGAAGCCTGCCACAGCCATACAGTCTGTAAGCAATATAAGTCTCTGTGTTTACTTGGTTGGGTCTGAGTGGCTGTGGGACTGGCGGGTGACAAAGATTTGTCCTGACTGTGGGCCAGGCATGAAAATTCTAGCTACAGTGTCTTCCTCATTATTTGGTGATTTCAGTTAAATTGCCTTCATATGGGTATATATTTTAGTAATATGCTACTATGTGTTAAGTTTCCATAGTATCCCTCCAATAGCTCTTAATTATAGCTGCCTCTCCCTGTGTTCCCTCCCTCGCCCACCTCTCCCCATTTGATCCTCCTGTTCCATGCCCCTCTCATTCATCCCTACCTATTCTTTGTCCCTTTCCTAATGAGATCTATCTGCCCCTCCCCTATTCCATTAGTCTGTGATTACCCATTACATTACACATGTAATGTAATTATACATTTCACATACATAACCTCTATGATTCTATAAATTATAGCTTGCTTATCATTGACTTAACTGCTAATATCCACATAAAAGCAAATACAAACCACATTTTTCTTTCTGAATATGGATTACCTTACTCAGGGGGATTTTTTTCTGGTACCATCCATTTACTTGAAATTTTCATGATTTTATTTTTGATGACTGAGTAGTAATACTCCATTGTATAAATGAAGAATGTTTTTTAAATCCATTCTTCTGAGGAACACCTAGGGTGTTTCCAATTTCTGTCTATTATGAATAGGAATGCAATGGAGCGTCACTGTAGTAGGATAAAGCATCCTTTGAGTATATGCCTAAGAATGGATTAGCTGGATATTGAAGTAGATCTACTCCCAATTTTCTGGGGAACACAGAGATTTCCATAGTGGCTGTACAAGTTTTCAGTCCCATCAGCAATAGAGGAGTGTTCCCCTTGCTCCACATCCTTACATGAGCTGTCACTTGGTTTATTGATCTTAGCCATTCTTGAGGTATAAGGTTAAATCTCAAAATAGTTTTGATTTGCATTTCCTGGTGACTAAGAATGCTAAAATATTTTTGTGTTTCTCAACAATTCAGGTTTTCTCTTCTAGGAATTAGCTGTATAGATCTGTATCCCATTTTCTAATTGCGTTATTTATTTTTTCATGTCTAGTTTTCTTAGTTCTTTATATATTTTGGATACTAGCCCTCTGTCAGATGTAAATACATTTTTTAAAAAAATATAATGCCTCCAATATCATCAAATAAGCACTGCATCCAGATTTCTACTTTTTGTCACAGTTCTATTGTTCTTGGATCCTTTAATGATTCTATTTTATTTTAGATAATTGGTGACATTTCCTTTGTTCTATGAATGTCAGTTACCTGTAGCCCACTTAAAGGGCTACACATATTTTATTTTTTATTTTCCTATATATTTTCTCTTCTACATGAGTTAATCTTTATAATGCTCAAATTGTTTCAGGATCACAGCTTAACAAAACTGGTGATACACTGATGTTAACATTAATGTTTTCTACAAGTTATACACTACTCTATAGACTTCACACATATTCATGGATTCAATTCTCAAAATAACTCTCAGAAATATGAGCTAGTATTATCCCAATTTATAAGTTATTTGATAGGGAAAACATATTCAAACAATCACTTTAGACAATCTTCAAACTACTGAGTGAGGTAGGCTCACAAATAAGGAAATTAAATCTCACTGAAGTAAAAATAAATAGTTTTAATTCTAGCATAGCCCTCACCTTCTTTATCCCACCCACAATAGTCTCAGTGGAATTGAAAGTATAAACTAACAGCATAAGTTAATGGAACTAAACAATGTTTATAATTCTTACCGCATTAGTAAAAGTCATAAATGAAGTGTAAGTGTTTACCTATTTTCCATGCACTCCTGGAAGTCCAGGAGCTTCACACTGGGGAACTCACAGGGGAACATGAGAAGTCCAAAACTGAAGACTCAACTCACAGAAGCTCTGAAGGGCCCACTGGCTGCACACAAAGATTAGTGCCTTAAGATGATAAACTGCCCTTGTAGCAATGGTACTCTGTAGCTAGAGTTTTCCTGCCTGGCCCACAGTCAGGACAAATCTCTGTCACCCACCAGTCCCACAGCCACTCAGACCTGACCAAGTAAACACAGAGACTTATATTGCTTACAAACTGTATGGCCGTGGCAGGCTTCTTGCTAACTGTTCTTTTATCTTAAATTAATCCATTTTTATAAATCTATACCTTGCCATGTGGCTGGTGGCTTACCGGTGTTTTCACATGCTGCTGGTCATGGCAGCAGCTGGCAGTGTCTCTCTGCCTCAGCCTTCTGCTTCCCAGAATTCTCCTCTCTCCTTGTCCCACCTACTTCCTGCCTGGCCACTGGCCAATCAGAGTTTTATTTATTGACCAATCAGATCAATTTGACATACAGACCACCCCACAGCAGTACTCTTTACTTTTCAGTAAATACAATGGAAATCTAGGTGTCTAGATTGGATAATACACTATTTTCCAAAGGCTACATATATTGGAGACTGTCATCTACCATTGATTAGCCCAGATAAAATCAAATGAATGCTCCCCAAGGAAACTTAATCATCTTCTGATGATGGTTGGAGCCCTTGTTGGTGGAAATTGATGCCAAATTTGTTCTTTCTTACCATCTATAATACTGAAATAATGCATAGAAATGAAAGCTATTCCCCCATCATGTACACAGAAAACTGTGAATTTTCTTATATTAAACAGGCTCATAGAAAAAGATCTGAGCCAAGTTATATGTAATATCACATTACTCTATAATTGAACGTGCAAACATCATTGAACCAAAGCCAGTCACTGAAGAAAAGACAATACTGTGAATGTAAGAGGAAATAAATAGGAAAACAGCCTGAGAAATAAAATGGGAACAGTTTCAAGCGAAAATGTGAAATATAAATATGCTCAAGAAAATCTTAACCAATTTTGCATCTAAACTGCGAAAAATGGAATAGGTGTCAAAATATGAAAGAGTGGGCATACCAAACACATTCTTAAGTGATATGTCCTAAACTTGGCGTATCTCTCGCTTTCTTGCATCTAGATTCTCTTCGTATCCCTCTGCAGTATCAAGGATGTCAAGGCAATCAGCTGGTGAAATTTCAGTATTGCACCCTGTGTTTAGAAACAGTAAAGAGGCTTTGGGAGGTAGAGCAGTGGGAAAATGTCTTCCATGGATGACTAACAACCTGAGTTAAAACTCCAGAACCCATGGCTGAAGGAGAGAACCAGTTCTGTCCTCTAACCTTCACATGCACACTGCACCATACTGTATAGTGATAACAGTAAATACCAGAAGATTAAAACTACAATCTCCCATTCCTGGGTTTCTTGTCCCATGAAAATAGCCAGCATTAGAATAGAGAAGACAGAAATATAAAATTCATGCATATATCACTGAGTGTTGTTTTAGCTAAACTTTGGAGCTGGCATGGCCAATGCAAAAGACATTTTCATCTTCTTGTACCATGTCCTCCTCACTTAAGGCCCCAGGTACAGATGCTACTTTCTGATCAGCCATATGTAACCTCAGACCATTTCTCAACATCACCAGGCAGGTGCTGTAAATCAGCCGAGGCTGGCATATAGCTGATAACTCAATGCCTTCTTCTCCTTGTAAATGAATTTTTGAGTCAGTCTTCAGAGATTCTTCCTGTATATATTACAGTTACAATACTAAAATGTAAGCTACTAAATATAATAAGATAACTGAAACAAGTACTGCATTAGCATCTCTGAATAATAAAAACAAATAAGTTAGTAGAGCAGATTTTTGTATTTGTCTACTTACTTATGGAAATTTAGTTATCATCACCTGTAATTGTGAGTTTATCTTTTGTGGAATGTGTGCATATGTAGACAATAGGTATTGTCTCCCATACACATATCTTTGTATCAGGCACAGTGAATGAGACAGATTGATCAGTTATCATTCATGGTAGAAACCGAGTAATTTCAATATGGGGAATAGTATAAACTAATATTCATTGTCTAAGGCACAACTGATAAGTCAATTTCTTTGTAAGACTAAAATATTCTATTTATTATGAATTACAGTTTTTTCATGTCACAGCGATTTCATTTTGTTTTAGATCAATATATTTTTGAAGTGTGTTTCCAGAATGTCTGTGCATTTCAGTAGTGACTGAAAACGCTGGTGACTTTTTCTTATTCTTGTTTGTGTTCTTAGAAACTAACAAAATGTCTTGTCAATCTATAACATACTTCACCTGTAAACAATGCCTTCCCATATTGCTATTCCTTTCTCTTTTTTTAATTGAAAATAGATTCTTTTCTCATATAATACATCCCAAGCACTATTTCCCCCCACTCACTTCTCTTAGCTCCCTTCCCCTTCTCTCCCCCCAGATGCACTCTCCCCACCCTTTTCCTCTTCAGAAAAGAGCAGGCTTCCAAGAGATGACAGCCAAACAGGACAAAACAGGATACAATAACAGAAGGTGAATACCTCATATCACGGCTGGGCAAGGCAACCCAATATGAGGAAAAGAGTCCCAAGAGCAGGCAAAAGAGTCAGCTTTACACCTGCTCCCACTGTTAGGAGTCCCACAAAGACACCAAGCTGGCAGCCATAACATATATGCAGAGGACCTGGTGCCTTTTACACATGGAATTTACTGAGACATTGTGAATAGTGAGCTAGAGGGATGTCTCAGAGGGTAAAGTGCCTGCTGCACAAGCATGGGGACTTGAATCCCAGCACCCTCATGAGTCGTCATGGAAGCATGAAAAAGAATGAGGAAGGAAGAGATATCAAATAAGGTGGAGGGCTATCAAGAAAGAGACTCCACGTAAGCCTCTATCCTGTGTATGCTGACACACAGATGCACACATATCCTAGTATCCTAGTATGGATTTGAACACACACACACACACACACACACACACACACACACACACACACACACACTAAAAAACAAAAGAGTACCATGAATGGCGTTTCTATTTTAGTCCAGTACTTACCTTTGTTAAATTTTATTCACTATCTAATAGTTGTATAACTAGAGAGTCTCTGATATATAATTTCAACACAAATATTTGACTAGAAAGAAATACTCAGTATAGTCAACTGAAGATTATATATAAAAAAATAATCAAAGGAAGCACAAAATTTCAGGTTGATTTGTTCCCTATTTTTTTTTTGTTTTGTTTTCCTGTTTCATTATGAGTGATCAATCAGGCAAGCCTGAGTTTTAATTTGTTGCTTTGGAAACTTCTTCAGAGGTTAGTGACCAGTTAGCACTGGCACAGGCAGCTGCACTGTTGACACCCAGGTCTTGCTAGAATCTTGTGTTTGAGGAAGGGAGCCCTGGCCTTTGTCTTTTGAGAAGCCAAGGATCAAAATGACTATTTTTTTCTTGCTTGATTTTCTGTTACCAACCTGATTTTTTTCACAGTTCTAAGAAGCATGAAATCATTGGCACTTAAAAAAATGAGCCTTTTGTTTCTAATTTGCAAATAGTTTTGAGAGTTTTTTCTTTAGTTATAAAAAGAAGTTCCTGTATTGTTCATGGAGCTAACACCCTTCCCTCTTTTCTATAACCAACCTTTTATAAATACAACTTAACATATAGCTTTGTTCATTTCTAAGAAACTACCAAAGATCAGGTTTTACCTTTTTACATTAATATGTGCAGTGTGAAAAACTTGATTTTGTTATAATTAGTTATTAAAATATTTTATGTTCCTACCCAATTATAAGTTTGACTAAATGGAAAAAATGAACGCAAATATGTTGGGGAGAAGTGAGGCATTCTTTCTCTCTACAACTTCAAGTCATTTTATGTGATTCTTGACAAAACATAAAACTTATAAAAAGAACTTCTATTGCCATCCTCAAAGTTATTTAAATACAAAGTTGTATTTGTATACTCCATAAGTATGCCACCTCAGACTCCTTTCCTCTAAAAATGATTTTATTCCATTCTATTTAGCAGAGATATAATCAACTACAAGGTTACTGGTTCAGGAGAATGGCAAGGGATAAGTTTAAAAATTGTAGATATCTCTGAAATTTTTCATGATTGTTTGTCAAACAATTTTATGTTCTACATTTTATGAAACATCCAATTCTTGATCTGACATTATATTGGATTTTAATAATTTTCTAGTTGGTCTCATGAGAAGATTCCACTGTATATCACATATTATATAACAGGGACATAAATATGCATGACATTTGGGCTGCTCTTAAAAATTGATAAAAGCATACTTGTTTAGTGTGGAGATTGTGATTTTTCTGAAAATTAAATCCTTAAGCAAGACTGGTTCAATGTTTTGACTGGCTAATGAAATATTTGGTCCATTCCCGCTGGCCATAGGTAGAGGCACTGATTTGAAACCACCACGATGAGAATGAGGCTATAAGGAAAAGAAAACCAAAAAACTGTGTTAAAACAACTGGAATACAGGGAGAGTGTTCCAGCACCCGGATGTAATAGATGATAGTATTTTATATTCAAGTCAAAGAATTTTCATTAAAAATGTGATTATCTTGAGTGGCGTTGGTCAGACAAGCCCAACTCCTGAAACATCGCTTCTCCTGGGATTTACTGCATGGTAATGCTATTTTCCATATTAACAAGATTTTTTTCTACAATCTTGTATTCAGATACATAATTTATACCACCAAGAAATGTGAATTAGTATACAGACTCATAGATCCATGTTACAATTGTTTTAAAGTTCCCAAATAAATTACCATTGCTGTGAGACAGAATGTCAGGAGAGTTCAAACCTTGTCCCTAGACTCAGGAGGAAATTAACGCTTGGGTCTGTTATTGTCATGGACAGAGATGGTGACTTTTTCTGGGACGATGAGAATCTAACCAAATATTGTAGCTAAATATAGCATACAAAGCCGTGTGCCATTTCTGAAGATGCTATCAGGAAGAAAACCCAATGACTAGGCTTCTGTGCTCTAGTTTTTAGGTACACAGATTCAATTTAGAGATTGGGGTTTGAAAATAAAATTTACTGCACGAGTGTTTTTGGCTGATAAGAAATGGATTTTGTGACCCTGGTGCACATTAATTGAAGTATCTGGCAATGTGTCTCGACCAGGTTAAAGGGACCATATGTACTTGGAACCATATTATTGCTTCACATTGAGCTCCAAAGTTAAATCTCTTCATTACCATATAAGGAAGCAAACTTTACTACCAGGACCCTGCCCAAGCCAATGCTCACTACTGCCTAATGCCGCCTGGGTTTTATGCAATGTGCATTCTGTCTAGTTTCCAATCAATATTGAAACTTA